AGGTAATATAAGTAGTTAAACGAGCGTCTGTCTAGACTAGCAGAAGTTATTGGCAAATATGATATATGGCATGAGTTTGCTGGCAGATGACAACTGCACCTGCTAAAGTGGTGTTTTAATAGATTTGCAATGATATATAGTCAACAGACCGTTTGCGAATCTAAGGGAATTTCCAATCAACTTTCAGCAATTAAAGATAAAGAAACCAAAGACTATGCCCCTCTAATGGATTCATTAGTCATGAGCATGCGAAACTATTTTAAGTACGGAATAAAAACAAGGAAACAATGAAATGTTGAATGAACAATGCTTATCTCATTTAATCTATATAAAATCAACTTGATTTCGCTTTGATTACAGGCTTTTTCTTTGTATTGCTAAGGCACAACTGAAAATAATTGACTTTTTACGCAATCTTGTTTTAAATAGAAACAATTGACATTTAAAGATCGAAGAAGAAGAAGAGGCAACCAGCGACGACATACACGAAGTTCAATATGCAACAGGCAAGTTTGTGAGTTTCTAAAAATTGAGCTGCCAATAAAATGTCAATCGCCGCTGCAGTTCAGCAGAGATAGTGGCACGGAGAGGGGGCGAAAAAGACTGAGAAGTTGGGTGTGGGAAATAGTTGATAGTCAACAGCAACAAAGAGAAAAGCAAATTTTGGCAGCTGCTGCGGGACGCGCTTAAAAATAGCAACAAATATGCGAGACAGCAGCGCGGGCGAAATTTCGCAAAAAAAGAAGACCCACACATACACACACACACATACGAAATAAATTAAAATAAAATTACTTATGCGATAGAAAAGTGTTGGTTGTAGCTTTTGCGAAAAAGAAAACTTAAGATATCTATAAAATAAATAAAAAGAAAAGTCGAAGGCGTCGAGTTATAAAACAAAAGATACATTTGTATCTACTATGTAGACAAATGGAAGAGTGAAGAGGCATCTATTTAAAGATTGACTGCCAGGCGACATTTTCACGTTGTTGGGCCAGTCACGCACCCAAAACGAAAATGTATCTAGGCGAGCGTCTGTGCTTCTTGTAGTTATGCCACGAATGTGTGTTTCGATTTGACAAGTTTTCTCTAAACCAAATGCTGTATGTCTTCTTTGCTATGAACGCGTGCGCTCAAAGCAGCTTGTTCCGCCTCTCACCCATACTCTTTCTCTCTCTCTCCCTCTGAGTGTCTTTGACCATTTCACTATCTCTGCATCTCTCATATATTACATATTGTACATTTATTGAAATGAGCACACAATGCGCAAATACAAAGCGCCGGGCAGCACAGCAGCACAGCGCAGCGCACCGAAACGTGCTCGGTACAAACTAGTCTATAATTTTAAAAATAAACTCTACGCAAATTATGAAATATCCAAATTCTGCTTCTTTCTACTCTCTACACAAATTTCGAAAAGAAATTAGAACATTTAGAAATTTTTCGGATATGCTGTAAAGACGAATTCGTGCTTCTACAAACAAATTTTTAATACTCTGAATGCTTGCCAATTAGAGCGAATCGGATCCGGATCCAGAACTAATTCGTATGAACAAAGCAATGTATAAACATTGGATGTTCTAATTTGCTAATGAATAAATTTAAAGGTCTACTAAGGAAAAAATATGTACATATAAATGATATTCTATTTCTTTTAATTTAAGCGTTTTAGAGTAATACAAAATAAATACATATGTAAAGACTTACATATATAGATTTCTAATGAGTTAAAAATTAGCTTGCTATAAGAACTTACAAAAAAATAGTAAACATCTTATATATCTAGAAGTATTTTTTAAATAAAATAAATTAAATATGTATCTAAAAATATTCTATTTATTATATTAAACCATTTCTAATGATTAGAAATAAGTTTTAAATATTAATTAATTTCGTGAAATTCATGCTCCTGTGCTTAATACGAATGTTTCATCTGCTCAAATTGCATTCCAGGAAGTAGTTAGTTAGTAAATAGAATGCTCTGATGCTTAGGTTTAAAAATACACTCAAAACTTGCAATACGACATTTAGAAAAGGCCCCAAAGAATTTCGTTCAAGTTTAATGACCAACACGAGCGCTTCGGGCTGCTCATCCTCATCCCAAAGAGCAGACAGCATAGAAAATACCAACGAACTTTTAGAAATTCAACAGTAAATGCCAAGACACACACACACACACACATGCACACAGAGTCAAAGAGACAGATTGGTAGTGTAAGCGAGATGGCAGCAAATCAATACAGCGAAACTATTAAAGCGAGCGAAAGAAAGAAAAAGCATCATTCAGAGCTTAGATTACAGCATTTTCTAGCCGCTGTGGAATGCTGCTTTAGCAGTGGCCGAAAACTTGTTTACAAGACATCGCGACGTGCCAGCAGCGAGTGGGTCAAAATGCAGCTCTTTTACACTCTCTCACATGCATAGGTGTAAGTGTATGTGCGTGTGATTGTGTGCGTGTATTGACATTCACATTATAGCTGAGCAGCCGCTCCTGGACCAATGCTTGTGCGCCAAACTTTCACTTGTGCACGCAGCGGCGGCATAGATGAAACAAGAGAAGCATAAAACAAGAGCCAGACGAAGACGACGGACATTGAGCAATGAAAATCAATGTAGCCAGAAACTTGATCGCCCAAAAGAAACAGAAAACAACAACAGCAGAGAAATGCTTCCTATTGCAGCGCCCTAGCGACAGGTGGCGTTGGAGCTTCTTCTGTGACAGCTTTTACAACACTCATAAAGCTGGTAGATGTGAAGTTGTTTGTACTTTCTTTTGCCCAACTAATTGTATGTGGGTATGTGTGTGTGGTGTGTTGTGTTAGCTGGAATCAATGAATTTTATAGAGCTTCTAATTGTACACAGTCGGCTGCTCCATTGGAAATAGGACAGGGACACGGCCCCCAAACGATGCTTTACAGATGGGCGTTGCGGTGGGCGGTGCAATACACGCCCTAGAAAATGTCACCGATTGCTTGGCCCAATTACTGCACCTATACGAACAAATATTTCAGCACACGTATTTATGGCACTCTTAACTTACCTTCTCCTTGGCACGTCCAGCGTGTTTTTGCATAGATTTAGCAAGCATGATGCCTTTATTTTCGGACATTCAATCAGCAGCAACGGTAACAACAATAACAAATAGATTCAACCGAAGAAGCAGCACAGGTTGTGTGTGTGTGTTTCAGTGAGTGTGAGTGTGTATATATGATATTCGTATATGCACTGCTGGTGTTCAGAAATATTCAAAAAATTCTGATTTGGCACAATATACACTGTGTGAAGAACAGAAGAACTCTCCGTTTTTCTGTTATCCGCTTTCGGGGAAATTTTAAATGCACATTTAACACACGACAACGGGCCACAATTTGTATTTATTGAACGTTGCTATTTTGATGCGATTTGGCCGCGTTAGTAGCACTCGAAAGTCACGAAATAATGGCACGTAAGCGCGCGGCTGCGACTTCAGGTGTGTCTTCGAACTTGACGCTGCTGCAGACGGAACGGGACTCATTTATTTATTTATAATTTATAATGTTTACACTCAAGCAACGTCGATATCTGCTCTCTATCGATACTTCCCATTGACTATCAGCGAGCCACCACACTGCTCCGCTGTTAAATTTAACAGCTGAGGAGCAATGTTGTCATCGATAGTTTGATTACTAGACTACCCACCACCACTTTAAGTGCTGCATAACAGAAAAGATGTGCGAGCGACTTTTGCCCAGGTAAACAGAACTATATTTTTGTTTTTTTCTTTTCTCATTTATTCGTAAATTATTGTTGTCTGTCGTAGGCACTCGGCTTCGACAGGCGGCTGGCTAAGTTTGTTGTTGCCCGCCGCACTAGTCACCAGTTATTTGCACGCACAGCCAGAATGCGGTGCCACGGACGCAGTGCATCGGCTTCTGATTGCGGCCGCAATTGGAATGTGCCTCAGGACACTTACGTTCCTTCTCACCTCGTACGTTAAGGCTGCAACCTCTATTCAGTTTATATTGAACCACCTGTTGCCAGGCATTGTGAGTAGTCTATGTGTGGACCGAAGCTGGCCCTTTGCTCTACCCACTGGACTCCTTATTACCTCCATCTATCACTTTGTGTATGTGAGTGTATTCCGTGGTCTACCGAGGACATTTACTTTCGGGGAAGCTGCCATTATGGTGCAGGGCGTTTTGCTCTTCGTCCTGAATGCCATTTGTCGGCTTTGGACTCTGCCCTCGACGGATTTCAATCAGCTAAATGCCATAATGACAAGTGCTCTACTCTGTCTGCTCCTGGTCTGTGTGGCGTTGCACTTGGTGAGATTTCTACGCAAGCCGCTGCCCTTCTACATGCTGATGGTCCTGCTGCTCCTGGCTGTGACCTGTGCGCCGGTGACACGCCCTCTTCCTCTGATTGCCCTGCTGGAATTCCTATTGAAGGATCCACTGCGAGTGAGTGGGGCTTGTCTGCAGGACAGTAGATAAAAGTGTTCTATATCTCTATCTCCGTCTCACTCTTACATAGCTTCTCATTATTCTGAGTGATCTGCTGCTCGTCGCCGTCACCTGCGGTGCCGTTAGCTGGCAGCTGAAGAGCTCCACTCGGGCGAACACACGCGTTCGCAAGGTCTTCCATCTGCTTATACTGCTGGTCTTTGTGCCTGGCCTGATCTATCAGTGTACTCTGCTCTACCTGGCCACGGGCGTTGCCTTGGCCATATTTGTGGTGCTGGAGCTGCTGAGGCTGCTGCAGATGCCGCCGTTTGCAGCGACGCTGACGCAAGCCTTCGACTCCTTCAAGGATGAGAAGGACGCAGGAGGCCTTGCGCTGACGCCTTTCTGCCTGCTAATTGGCTGCGCTCTGCCCATTTGGCTGACGCCCTGTCCCTGTCTGCGGGCCGGCAAGGACAGTCAGTTGCTGCTGCTGCTCCTCTCCGGCATCCTGACAGTGGGCGTGGGCGACACAGCGGCCAGTGTGCTGGGCTCCAAATATGGACGCAACAAGTGGAAGAGTGCGTATATCACATAATATTTATAAATTTATATACAGTTTCTAATCGGATTCCGTTGCAGGCTCTAACCGTTCCCTGGAGGGCACTGTTGCCTTTGTGCTGTCTATCCTGCTGTCCGTCGGGCTGCTGCAGCTGAGCGGCGTCCTTGTCATGACCCAGGCGAAATGGTTCGCCACGATTTTTGCCACACTTAATGCAGCTCTAGTTGAGGCACTTACCGACCAGGTGGACAATCTGGTGCTGCCATTGATATTTTATATAATTGTTGGCCTAGCCTAAGTCTTAAAGTGTGATATTTACCAAATTGTATGAATTGTAAACATTCCAGCGCAGCCAAAGAAATTCGAACAATATTTTTATAAAATACATTTTTAAGGCTATGCAGCCCTGGTTCAACTCATACACTCACAATGAACTGTTAGCCAACAGCAATTGCTGTCAGAGAGCGCATTAGCTCTTATAATGATCTCACCTACGATCACTGTTAAATTAAATATCGTAATTAGCAGTGCTGACTTTTGTCGCTTTACAGCACTGAAACTAACATTGCAGCTCTTATAACGAGAGAGCACTTATTCTCTGTTAAAAGCGAGGGTATAATAAGTAGAAGACTGTAGTCAAATGAGCGCCTCATTTACTTTTGAGTTTAAATTTTTTATTAAATGCATTATTCTCAAGCGCTTACAACAAAAATATTAAGGTTACAAAAAATTGTTGTGTATATGTATAAAAATATATATAAAATATAAGTATGTATATATTGTGGTAAATTGTACAATTATTACGAACAGCGCAATTTTGAATATAATTATTTATTTATATGGAGTATATATAATATTTATATATATAGGATTATGCCTGAGCATGTCTCTAGTCCTGAACTTGATGTATCACATTTTAGAACGGATCCCGCAATTCTCGAGTTCCGTTTTACAGCAGTTTTCTTTACAACTAACAATATATACATATATGTATAAGGATAGATACCACATAAAATAGATATATATATATATATCTACAAAATTATATATATAATATAAAGGAACATTGCAGCATTTCGCTTGGATTTGTGGGCCATGATATACCCTTTACAGTGGCTCCTTCTTGAAGTAGGCGTGGTTCAAGCACTCCAACGCAGAGGGACGCTGATGCAGGTCATACGCAAGCATTTGCTGAGGCGGAATTGAGAGATATTAGTCAACATATAATAAATGTATGTATGCAAGTGCTTACATTCAACAAATCATCAGCGAATTCGCATAGGCCCGGGCAGAAGTCTGAGGGTCGCTTGCGAGCGCGATCTGGAAAATGTTCCCTGGTAATGGAGATGCTCTTTGGCCACTCCTGCTCCGTCGGACGGCCAGTCAGCCTGCAATAGTAAGAGAGATACAAATCATTAAGCAATTGAGGTGGCAATCAACTGGGGGCAAAACCCACTGGAAGATGCGATCCAGCTGATCCTTCTCAGAGTTGCCCGGGAAGAGCGGCTTACGCTTAATCATCTCAAAGATGATGCAAGCTGCGCTCCAGATGTCGACGGTGCTGTTGTAGCCCTGGGCGAGCAGCACCTCGGGCGCTCTGTACCACAGGGTAACCACCACGGAGGTGAGTTTCATGTCCGCGCCATACGTCTTGGCCAAGCCAAAGTCGGCTATTTTCAAATGGCCCTGCGATGAGACGAGCAGATTTTGGGGTTTCAAATCGCGATGAATGATGCGATGGGCATGCAGAAAGTCCACTCCGGTTAATAGCTCTCGAGCCAAGCGCTGAAATCGATAGGCATTTATAACAATTTTCAAATATGCAAAATTTAGTCTACCTGGACGTTTAGGGACGACATGCCGCATGGTGGCAATGCTTCGATCAAGTCGGATAGATCCTGTTCCAAGTGCTCAAAAATAAGCAGAATCAACAATTTGCCATCACGTTCCAAGAACTGGCATACTTCGAACAGTCTGTCGAATGGGGAGCAAATTATAGCATGTCAATGTGTGCATTTGTAGACTGTAGAGCGGGGAAATTATCAATGTGAAATGTGTGTGTGTTGGAGAATTTTTCAGTTGTGTAGGTCTGAGCTCTCTAGGAGGGCGACCTGGTGTGCAACACGCCATTAGCATGCTGCGGACATTTGGTGTACTACAAAAATCACTCCACTCATATAATTTATAAAAAAAAAACTCTACAGTTTTCGATCAAGAGCACGTACGCTGGGGCACGAAGAGTGCATAACAGCACTGCCCCAGGCTCAGCATGGAGAATCTCATGCTAACATTCTGTTAGCCAATGTTTTGCAGCGCTGTTAATTTGAATGCGAAATTTGTACACTTTTACTTATAAATTAACAAATTTTTAAAAACATTATTTTGTAGGTAATATAATTTGAATTTTTTAATATTTTCCATTTAAAATTTTCGCACTATTAATAAAATTTGTATGTACCGAATTAATTACCTTTAATTCTTTAATAATAAATAAAACGCTTAATCTATTCAAAGAGCAGCAGCGCTAACTCTCTGCTTGCTGTCTGCGCTCTTTGGCACTAGCAGCTATTCATACCGCTGTTAAATAAATCATAACATTTCTCTCCACTCAATTGCTCTTGATCGTAATACCGTAGATGAGAGTCGAGTGGTACAAGCAGATACACTGAGCTGGTTGAGCGGGTCGGCCGACATTTTTTAGTACTGAGCGAGTTTGAGTGTGATTTGTGTATGCCGCCGCCGCTAGTGTGATGCGTACTAAAGAGAGTATTTTCGCAACATGTTGACATACATAAGTTAAGTTTACTTGTAAACAAAGCTGCCTCTTCAGGTGGCTAAATTGCTTTCAGGTGCACTTTGCCAAGGCAATAGATTAACTGGTGCTGGTGCTGCTGCTACTGTAACCGTTGCTGTTGCTAATGTTGTTGCAAATAACATTTGCGACGTCGTTATCAGCATCGCAGGGCAAGCAGGCGCCACTTGGTTGACGTTTGCTTTATTAACATGCTCATGTCACTGTGGGAGTGTGAGTGCATGCTCTTGTATTGGGGATGGAATGCACCTCTGTGGCTGTGACCGTTACAGTTTCGCATGCTTTAGCGACTGCTGTAGGTCAGTTGAGGAGAAGCAGGCAGTAAAGCAAAAAGACAAACACAAGAAAGTTGTTAATAACCGTAGACAACAAACACACTCACGCACACACACAGCCATTGCCACTGTCATTGCCCGTAATCTGTTCGCAGCGCTCAACGTAACGACTTTTTTAAATTAGTGAACAAATAGTGGGCGCCACCCAGATAACATACACACATAAGAATGTGTATGCAGTTACTCACTTGACAATGTTCGCATGATCGTATGTGTTTAGCTGCTTGAGCAGTGAAATCTCTCGCAGCGTTGATGCACTCACTCCGTTTTCCGTGAGTGTTATGCGCACCTTCTTGATGGCCACGAATTTGCCTGTTAGATTGTCGCGTGCCCGATAAACGGTGCCATAGGCGCCTGTAAAGATAATGCGAATGTTAATGTTAATGTGAACGAATGCTCATGTATTGGCGTAACTCAATTGTGTGCTAACAGTAAATAGGTCACACACACGTTCACGCCTCACATGCATTAGATCAGGCTTCTTTCTGTCAAGGAAAAAGCCATAAAAATAAATTGCAAAACGCAAAGGAACGAAATGGACAGACAAGCAGAGCAGGGAGATAAGAACAAGTGAATTTAGTTATATATGTATATGTATGTAGGTATATATATATGTATATATGTATATATATTTCTTTTCTTTTTTTTGCCAATGCTATGAACTAGAAATTTCGCACACAAATATGTACATTGCAAATGCCAGCCCCAAAACCCAGACCCAGAACCCAAAGCAAAAAGCAAAAGGCGAAAGAAAAAAAAAAACAATAACAAAATACACTAAAAACATGCCGTCAGCTGTGTTGATAAGTAAACCGGCTGATTTTTTGAAGATATCTGCGTAGCCGAAATCGAGCGAGAGCGTGGGAGAGCGGTAACAGCAGTGAGAGCATAACATAGAGAGTGTGATGAAAAGATAGAGAGGAAGAGCGCGATGCAGGAATGTGGGATAAGAATCGATTCAGATGAAGACTCATTTTGTCACCGGAAATTTATGACCGGGTGGGCCAGCCAAATCAAACAGTGAAAGAGATAGAGAAAGAGAAAGAGGGGAGAACGCACGGAAAGCAATTGGTTCGAGGCGTGGGAGCTCTTCTATTTCGGTTGACATTCGCTTTCGATATGTTCCGCATGTCTTCGATTTGGATACGATGACTCGCGCACACATATTTCGCCGACTACTGCCGGCTGCAAAAGTCAAGTACAAGGCCAGGTTCACACTCGGCACACAGCAATGCAGTACAATGGGAAAGTATGATAATAATGCAAAACAAAACAAGGGAAGGGAGAACTGGGAACGGGGAAACAAACTAAATAACAACAATAACAGCAAAAACTCACTCGACTATTTTTCGCCGACTCGTTTTAGTCATCTGCCGTCTCTGTCAATTGTCACATTTGTGCACAAAACCAAAGCCAAACACAACAATAACAACAATGACAAGCAATAGCCGAAACCCAAAAACGTAAAGCAAGCGAGCAATAATTGAATAAATGCGAAAAGGCAGCATGACAAAATGAAGCAACAAAAGCACGAGCACAACTTTGTTTCCAGTGTCTTTCCGAAATAAGTTTAACTTGTTTTTTCGTGTCGAGCAAGAGGAGAGAGGGGAGTGTCAGGGGGCAGGAGGCCGAGGGAGGGAGTTAACGCAGCACTTACTTAACTATCTTCCCGAAATCGCTTAAAATGTAACTCGATCTGCTTTTGCAAGAGCCATTTAATGTGAAAGTTGTGCGCTTAACCCATTGTTGCCACGCCTTTTGGGGAGTCGTTCTACACGCCCCTTAGCAACAAAAATATAAAAAATACATATATTTTGACAATAATAAACATCATTAACAAGCTCTAAGCCCAGCTCTCTTAACACTCAACCCAACCTCTGTGACGTAATTGATTTATGTTCAAATTTTGTTTAAATAAAGAAGAAACAAAACATAAAAGATAAATGAGGCGATAAAATTTTGGCTTGTTTATTTAATTCTTATCTGGCCGTTGCACCTGGTGCACTAAATTCAATATTTATTTTTCAGTTTCTTTACAGACCGAAATGCAAGTGGGTTGGTCGACCTGAAAGTATGCAACAGTATTTGTAAACCCCTATTTTTCCTAACTTGGAAGGGGTTTGTGTAGTTGGGAATCCAGTATTTCCCCTTCTCAATGCATTAGATACGGGTTTTCAAGTGAATAACAAGTGTTTGTTAGGCTAACACGCATGAAGTACATTCCCTACATTCAATCAAGCTCAAATATATTCAAAGCTAG